ATCATACCCGCAAGACTTGTCTTTCAAACACCCTTTTCGCCGTGTTTCTGACTATCTTTGCCACGACAGTGCCAAGAAAAGATTCCCCACACCATGACACCACCACCACCAGCCTGAACCGTTGATACAAGGCAGGATGGATCCATGCTTTCATGTTGTTGACGCCAAATTCTGACCCTACCATCCGAATGTCGCAGCAGAAATCAAGACTCATCAGACCAAAAAACACAACATTTAGCCAAAAAAAAAACAAAAAAACCCCAGAATAAACATAATTGTTTAAGAAAACCTTAGCGTTATCTACTGGATAACAGACCTGAACGGGGGGTGGTGAGTTAGCTAGCTCACCTTTCCGATACAGGTGGGGGAAAAAAAAACTCAAAAAACGTAAACACAAAATTGTTAGGACGCACAGGCCGATGTATTATGAAAATGATCTGTTGTTACATTAAAGTAACTTCAAACAGTAAGTTTTTCCATTTAAAAACAATTCGGTCTAAAGTTTTACTTCCATGCGCCTCTGTGATTGGTCTTCTACACCGCTTCAGGCAATCCCATTGGATGTCTCCAGTCGGGGGGTTGACCCGTCTACGAATGATCTGATTGGATTGGAAGTCTACGGTCAGCTTCCTTGAAGCTGATTGGCTGTTCCTGGGTCCGAATCRTGATCCGGATCATCACCAAAATTTAATGATGTGTTCCTTTGACCAATACCCACTTGTGGTGAAAATGTCATGAAAATCCATCCATAAGTTTTTGAGTAATTTTGTCCACAGACCAACCGACAGACATACGCAACCGAAGACATAACCTCCTCTCTTGGCGGAGGTAATAAATTAAATGAACAAGTACAACTTGTACAAATTTCCTAAACATGGAACTGACAAACTTTTCACATGGAATGTAAACTGTAGCATTCAGTGGAGTATCAACACCAGTATCTGTACTTGTAATAGTATTGGGGCATTTTGTTAGAGTACGAATATTTGTAAAAATGTTGGTATTGTGTATTGTGTACACCACTACTGGTGAGTAAATATTGAATCAGCTGATTTGAAATAAGAATTTTTTTTTTGTAATCTATATCGTATATCCCCATTTAGCTAAAAATAATATCTTTGGTACCAGCTCTTAATATTAAAAATGTCTCTTCTCTTAAATAAACCAYGACTTGTGTGTACCATTACACTTTAATCATGCAGGTATGATACAGTTCAGTGCGTGTACATCCAACACCCCCACCTTTTCATCTTTTATTCCATTTCCTCAGATCCATGTTCATGGCTTTGACCTTTTCTCCATCCAGTACAATATTTTCTGGAGCCGAATGTCAGCAACCATCAACAATGGCTCCCTACCCCAAAGCGGCATCAATTTCAGCCTTGTTAGGGCCTCCGCGGTCCTGCGTGCGCAGACACATACACACCCGGCGGTGGGCCYGGCGGCGCGCGTCGTAAACCGATCCCTCTCTGGCTGTCAGCTAACAAGTGGCTACCCGCTGGGCGAAAAAAGGGCATGGTGAGAAATGCTCTCAATCACCTCCAATTAATCCTCCCTCCCCTCGTTGTTCGAAGAGACTTGAAAAGGACAGTTTTTCCATGAAGTGCGAGGAGGGGGCGCTCAGGCCTCATCCTGGCTGTGATTGTGCACTGATATTGATTTATTATCCTCCTACAAGGACTTGAGGACCTCACACCAGACCTGTTGGCATCAGGGAGTCATTAGYCAAGAAAGACTGGGGCAAATGCATTTTTAATATTTTTTTATTCTTATATTAAAAGAATTTTCAGCTACAGTTTCCTCTCAGTGTTCTTTCTTTCATCAAAATCCCCCTGTTGTGATTTCCAGACAGTTCTTATATCATGCTAATAGTGTGGATAATGATAATAAAAGGGAGTGTGTGTGTGTGTGTGTGTGGCGGTGTGCCTGATCAGGAGCGTCCCTGCTTGAAATGATTAGAAGGTTGGGGCCATTATGAGCTCCTCTCTGCCTTTTGTATTTGGTGTAATGAATATTGAGGGGAAGTGGGGAGGGGGGTGTATTTGGAGCACTTTGAGGRACTAACAGCCTTTTTAATCCTTTAATCCTGAGGAAAACCAATTTCACCCCTATACACACACATACGCACACACACATCATTTGAAAGGGGTTTCACTGAACCCACTGTGTGTGTTTAACCTGCTCTCGTTAATTTCCCGGCTCAGAGACCTGGTGATCCTGGAGATTAGCTTCATTAAAATCACATATTGTACGCACTCTTGTATGGTGTGTGTCTGTGTGTGTGTGGTGTGTGTGTGTGTATAGATCGAGTGAGCAGATAAGGAAGGGACGCTGTTGTCGGGGGTTATCGCCCATGTAGGTCCTGCCACACACACGCTTGCAGATGACCCCCTTCCACTTACATGTGGCTGCCGTCAGCAGTATTTACTGCAGACCCTAAACACTCGCATCTCTGATCTGATAGAGCAGTGTTTCCCAAAGTTGGGGTCGGGACCCAAAGTGGGGTCCCGAAACATCAAC